GTGCTACATTACACTGATCACACTGGCCATCGGGCCAGTGGGTGGGATCACTTTGTGGCTGGATCCAGCAAGTAGGGTTGGGCTGGCACATGACCAGATCTAGCACCTGGGATTGTGCCAGCATGCCAGATCATATCTGTGAGCTGATCCTATACATGGGATCCGGCCTGCAGAATGGCCCCTTGTCATTCATTCAGCCCACAGGACTAGAGGTTTGAGCATTAGTGGTCTAGCTTTTGTGAAGATAGCTTCCAAAACAGGGTGGATTTGATTTAAACCAAATCACAGTTTAAATCACTGGTTAGGAAGCCCTGATTTAATTGTCGTTTTCTACAAAAAGTGCATTCTTGTTGTTTTGATATAACCTTAATACATTATTCACAACTCAGAGATAGATGTAAGGTTTCATTTTAGAAGGTACACACTATACATTTTAAAGCAGTGATTTATTTTGATACTTTTTCAGAATAATTTTGCAGCTACATTAGAAAACTGAATTATGATACTTGTGAAGTTATTGGGAGGTGAACTATCTCCATTTCACTAGATTAGTCATGGATATTTGGGGGGGATATATTTGCCACACTGTATTAGAAGGACATCAGCTGAACACTGCAGCCATATTTGATTAGCCTGAGGCTTTCTTTACCTTCTTCTAGATTTCTTCTTATCTTTTTGAGTTCTTTTCACTTATGGCCTGACAAGCTTGCTGCCATAAGTTTTCCTTTCTACCTTACCATTCCCTTACTAGATCTCAAATCAATGGAGAGGCTATACTCAGAAACATATCTCTCCAGACTTCCGGAATATTCTGCTCAAAACGTTTCACTTTTGTTTCCGTTGCCCTTCCCTCCTTGCTTTTATCTCCAGATTCATCTTCCTTGCCCAGACCTACTCCATCACCAGTAATCCTTTATTCATTTCACTTCTTGAAACTTTACACTTTTAGAGAGAGGTGAGGGCTTGACTCTGTGCATAAACTTGCAGAGAGACAAGAGGGCTGATGGGTAGGTAATCAGGTCTCTTAACTCTCATCTTCGTATACTGCTGTTAACAAGGATGTTATCTCTGGAGACACAAAACCACAGTTTGAGTACTGAAACTAAGCATCACAGAGGTGCTTAATGGGATCTTCTGACTGAGCACCGAGTCCCATTGGGTAGAGTGGCTTTCTTTAATCTTTATTAATCTATAGAGGAGCCACTGGGAACCCCATAATATTGGACTCCTAATAGTCTGTGGCCTGTTGTGACCTATTCATAAAACTTTTCAGAAAAGGTTACAAGAATATATTGTCTTAAATAGTATATAATTAGAAGTTATAATCCCTATTCCATCGTGATATCTTTGAGTATTAACATATATTTTTACATAGGTTTATTTTTTTTTCAAAAGCACCTAAAAATACAATTAAATAAAAAAATCTGATTCCAATTAAAAAATCCAATTTTTTAATTTCTTTAAAGAAAATTTGATTTTTTTTTTTTTTTTTTTTTTTTTTAATCCACCCTGCTCCAGAGGTGACTCGCTGCAGGGCCATCTTACCAAGTTTGTAGAGGTTCAGCTTGAAACAAACGAGCCTGAGAGAAAGATTTGCTGTTCGCGTTCATCTCCAAAAGTTGTTAGCTCTGAAATATGATGATAATATATGGTCCCATGGTTAACTCTTGCAATTCTGATAATTTAAAAAAGAGTCTCTAATTCCGGTGCTGATCCAGTATGATAGGATTTGGGGGTTGGGTACACTGAGCCAGCAGGTTTCTCTTTCAGGCTTTGGGAACAAGAGAGTGCCCGGAAACCGTGACAGGGGCTGCTGCCCCCATCATGTTTGCTCCCCCTTCACTGCACGGCCAGAACCCAGCTGCCAGGGCCCCTTAGGCGGGAGGCAGGGAGGGGGGGTTATTTCTTCCTCCCTCCGGTGTCTGGGGCTTATCCTGCTGCTTGATCCCTGTGAGCAGCAGTGGCTGGGGCAGGCAGACCCTGCTGCAGTGCTCTGGAGGCAGAGAGGGGAATAACCCCACTCCCTGCTCCCTGACTGGTATCTGGCCCCTCCCCCACCTGGCTGCTGGAGCAGTGAGGGTGTGGAGCGACTGTGACAGGAGCAGCAGGCCCTGTGACAGTGTCCCAGAGTGCAAGTTCCTTCCCGGTGGCGGGGCGGGGGGTACAGTGGGTGGGGGCGGAGAAAGCTGCTGTGGACTAGTGGTGATGGTGGTGCTAGGGAGGCTTGAGGGGCGATGGCCCCCTTTGAGCCCCAGTGCCACCGCCCACCCCATGCACTCCATGTCAGCTCTGACCCCTGCTCACAGCTCCTCCACTGGGGAGAGGCTCTCACTGCCCAGACACCAGGGCAGGGGTTGCAGCCCCATCAGGCCTTGTACCCTTGCCACTCCACGGGCAGAGCCAGAGCCCGGACAGCAGTGTCCCTTTGGTGAGGGAGCAGGGAGGGGTTTATTGCCCCCCCTGCCTCTGGTGTCTAGCAGAGGGGGCAGGAAAGGGCTTACCCCACCTCTTATCCTGCACAGAATGAGTGGCAGTGGTTGGGGCGGGAGACTGCACTGCAGTCCTTTGGGGGTGGAGGGGGGATTAACCCCCTCCTTGTCCATCCCTCCTCCCCGACTCAGGGGCCAGGCCATGCCCTGGCCCTGTTGGTGCAGCAGTAAAGGGGAAGCACCTGGCAGACCCTGGTCCAGATGTGTGCAGGTGGCACACGAAGGCAGGAATTAAACCCCTCCCTGGCCAGTTTACTCAGAGCTACAGTCACTTCAGCAGCTGACACAGACATGCAGGTTCCCACTGGTGGGGTGGGGTTGGGGGGATAAACCTCTTCCTTGCCCCCTTCCCAGGCCCAGTGTCTGGGCAGACCCCTGCCGCTGCCTGTCTTTGCCTGTCTCTGCTCTGGCTGAGGAGCAGAGGAGTGGTGTCAGCCCTGCTCTGCTGGAGTAGAGAACCTCACCCAGAGAGCATGCCTGGGTGCTGGGGGATTCTGGTTTAAGTTAAACCACCAAGGGGTCTGGGACAGATGTTGCATAAACTGGTTTGAGCTTAATCAGTTAAGTCTGATAAACCTGGTTGAATGTAGTATCCCAGACTTGTTTCGGTCATTTTGAAACTGGTTTATGTGCACTGAACTTATGTTTAAACCAGTTTCTGATCATTTAAACAGGTTTATGTGTAATATCTGTCCGTAGCCCAAGAGGTCTAGTCCAGCCTGAGGTAGGCTAAAGGATCATATGGCACACAGCTGTACCAAGTCACCTGTCTGCAGCCCTTCAAGCTGACTCTCTACACACTTGATAAGACAGCCCTGGAGCAGGTCACCTTTGTAAGCCCTTCTTCTATAGGCCTTCTGCTGTGTTTATCTCACTGCAGAAGGGCCAGGTGTCTGCAGTCAGAGTAAGTGCAGTGGGGAGGCATCACAGAATTGTAGCCCACACTAAAGGGCTGGGTGCACAGGAGTGAAGGGTTACTTAGCTCTGGGAATAGGCTTAAAAAAACAAACTGAAGTTCACTAAACAGTGAAGGGAAGAGCTAGGTGCCTAGGACTGAAAGTTGCAATAGGTGGCAGACTGAGCTAGGCAGCATCCAAGCCAGTCAATAGGAAATGCTGGAGAAAAGGATATGTCTGAAATCCTCTCTCTCCCAGATGTAGGTGCCTACCTGAAGCTAATATGGTGCCAGTATAAGACTGGGTTTCCTGCTCTTAAGCTAAGTTCTTTGGGTATGGATGACCGGCTTACTCACCACCCAGCTTTATTTAATAGCTTAGGATGTGGAACTCCTGGACTATAGTTTCTTCTCAGCCTGAGGACTTAAAAACCTACATCTCCCACATCCCAGGACATTGCCTAAACCCAGAGCTATAGGGAAAACTGGGTTAAGGCCATTTTCCACCTTTCCTGGTAAAGCTGGGCCACTGTGCAGTCAAGAACGCAAGATTCATGGGGCTGAACAGAGAACAAATAAGGGGCATCATGACTTGATAGCCCAGTGATAAGAACACTCCCCTGGGAGAGGCAAATCTTAGGAGAAAAGACTGGAACTCGGGACTGTTCTTGCATTTTATCCAGTGACTGCAAAATGCATTGAATGTTTAACACCAGCTCACAAAACTTTTGAACTTCACTAGTAACCAACTCTTTCTTTTTCTGAGTGCTTGTATTTAAACATAAAGTTTAAACAAGTTCTAAAACTTATATAACTTGATTCTGAAGACAAAGGAGGCTTTGTTATAAAACAGAGTTAAAAATAAAAATTCAAGAGATTTAATGAGCCATCAGTGAATCAGAAAGACTTTAGAAAATCAAAGAAGAAACAGCAAGGGTCTCATATCTCATGGTACAATATGAATTGTTCTGTTCAGTAATGCAGTGCATAGATCTCTGCTTAATCCTCAGTTTCATAATTTAGTCTCTTGAAAGAGTAACTTTTCTTATTTTTGCATCTGATTCTTTTTGTAAAGTGATTATGTTATTATCCTAACATAATCTTATATTACAGGCAGAATGCTTCCTTAGCCTATGTCCCCACTCCCCTCCAAATCAGATGGTTCAGTTATATTATTTTTTTATGAACATTAGAGTGTTGCTTGTAGAGGAGAATTAAAATTTAGATGCATGCAAACATTTTTAAAACAAAGCTCTGTAGCACTTTTAATTGTATTTGTGATTTAGGACACGCTTGCAGTTGAGAGCAATGCCTGTTTTCACAGGTTTCTTTTTAAACATATGTTAACAGAACAGAAAAAACATCTGCTACCTTACTGATATGCTTCTGCGATGAAATAGCCAGACTGTGACAGAATCCAAATGCTCAGTGTGAATAATTTCTGTGTCAGCTGTGAAGAGACTAGGGAACTCCTCTGTCTAACAGGGATTTTGAATCTTAAATACCTGACAGTTTCCTATAGGAGTTCCCCATCTATAAAAGTTTTAATCTTGTCAGTAACTTGCTTATTTTTTATCAAATAATTCTTATCTTTTATTTATTTCTATAACTTTCAGAAGTATCGTAGTGCATCAGTGGGGGCTGAAGAATATATTTATGAACAAACTGCAAGGTAGGTTATGGGAAACATTCATTGCTGATTGGCCTCTTACTAAAATATAACATTGAAAACCAAACTTGACTACCATTAAGTGTGTACTGTGCTCCCCCAGTAACTATCCATTTTCTTTCCATCATGTGCCTGTTGGCTTTAAAATCAGATTTTCATTGAGTTTTGGGGTCTGCTTCCCTTCCACTTTGCCTCCATGTAAATTGAGGGTAACTTCACTGGAGTTAGTGGAGTAACACAAATGTAAAATAGTATGAGAAGAGAATTAGCTCCTTGGCAGGTCAAACATAGAGTGTAGATTACCAAGAAGTTCATGGAGAATCTTTGCTGCCTTCCAGGATGGAAGGACTTGGTTCAGATATCCAAGACTGCTTAGTCTAGTCCCCCAAGTTTCTTAAATCAAACAATGTGTGTTTGACTAAGTCATATCTTCTAAAATCATAAGATGATGAGGAAACATGTATTTGGTTTTATTTTTCTATTACTATGGTTTTCCTAGACAGCTTTGTCTTAGATGCTGTGGTGCTTGTTTGTTCATTTTAGGCCCTTGTACATGAGTGCAGAGGCTGCTCTGATGCACTGGAATTCCAGTATGTTGGAGCAGAATTGATTAATCAAATCTGCTGGAGCTCTTGGAGCCACTCTAATTAAAGCACTACCCCTCCACTTCTGGAGCACATGTAAAAGTGCCCTTTGTGTTCCATCACAAACCAGCTATGTGCTGTTCAGTAAAACTCAACATTTTGGAGAAATACCAGAGCAAGGAACTAGGGCTGTGTGAAGCTTAGGGCGGTGATTCGACTCAGAGGAGATTTGGCCCGATTCTGTGGCCGAATCGAATCAGGGGACCAATTAAAAGGTCTGAATCAATTTGAAGTTCTCTGGATCTT